AAACAAGTGGAAAAGTCAAAAAGGGGGGACGTTGATTACCAATTCGACAAAAAAAACAAGATTCTAATGGTGAGATGGAATGACAATAAATGTGTCACGATGGGAAGTAATTTTGATACTATTGAGCCAAAATGTGCAGTCCAGAGATGGAATAAGGATAAAAAAGAATATAGTGCAATTCCACAACCCAAACTGATACACAACTACAATAAACATATGGGTGGTGTTGATCACCACGATTGGCTACTTGAAAAACATTCAATCGCCATCAGAGGTAAAAAGTGGTATTGGTGTTTGATTACCCGTATCGTGGACATGGCCATAGTTAACAGTTTCGTTTTATATAACTTACTTCATGCACAGGAGTGTACCTCAATAAAAGAATTTCGCCGGAATATTGCTGTCCCATATCTAAAATTAGGTCATGGTCAACGTTTACGAAAGGGCAGACCGCTAAGTTTACCTTCAACATCAAGAGCTAACATTTTGGATGATGTTAGATTTGATGGAAGAAATCATATAATGGACAAAAGAAATAATCAACGCCGGTGTCAGTTCATTTTATGTAAAGGGAAACCACGTACTTTTTGCAGAAAATGTAACGTAACACTCTGCATTCCCTGTTTTCCCAAATTTCATGAAAAATCCTTACTTGCCAAATAAATTCTTGTAACTTCATTCCATTTATTTAATATCATAATTGTAATTTCTTACTATTTGAAATAAAACACTGTTTCTTTCTAGCACAATTATTGCAAATGACTTTTTTCAGTACGACGTGACTACGACCATAATTTTCAATGTAAAACGCCCAGCGTCCTCGTATGAGGACGGCCCTTAAAATAAAAAATGTGAATTGAAAAAAAATTCTGTCCACCTAGACATCATCTATAGAGTCACAATAGTAACCTGTGTGAATATTTTGAAATTTTGATTAAAAAAATAAATTGGGCGCAAATGGGTTAAGCAAGTTTTTTTCGAACATTGATAATGCCACCCGTTATTGAGAGAATGTGTGTATAAATAGAGTTGGGACACCCGGTATACTAGGTATAAACTTTACAGAGGGCTACCTGGAAAAACGTCTCCATCCTTATTTATATAACTTTATATTATTATCCTCTACTTTTTGTAGGTTTTCATACGCATCTAATTCTCAAACATTATTAGTTTGAATTAATATATGTGTGATGATCCTGATCATACATATATTCAGCCACACTCGATGTATCCAATCTACCATGTCTCAAATGAGCGAGGTGTCCTTTGAAGCTTGTTTATATTTTTCGCCTAGTTTGGCCTATATGCGTTTATCTACAATAATTACAACTTATTTCGTGAATTCCTGATCTTTTAGATCGCTTAACAAATGACCTAATTGTCAAGCCATGAATATAAAGAACATAAACAAGAAAATATATACAGCAATATCATTTGCAGAGGGATAGGATAAATCACGATACCTCCAAAAACATAGGTTACATAAAAACAAAAAATAATTTTATCGTGATTTATCGCATGAATTCATAAGTATACAACCAGACAGTCTAGTTTGTTTTGCGTGATTTAGTGCATTATCATAATGACAGGAAAACGTGTGCCTTTTCGGCCTTCACGCCCAAACCCGAGGGTTAGGTTAAACAGGGCGCATTAATCGATTATGACGTAACTTCGTGGGGACACGGGTAGGAAAAGTTTGTAGGTATGTGCAGAATGTGAGTTATCGTCGAGTTCCGAGAACATTGTTTTCTCATCGTATTTCCTCACACGAACACGTCGTTATTTGGATGTGAAATGCAGCAAAAGATTCGTATTATTTCCTCGGCATACGAAATATGTTGCAAAAGTTCTCTGGTAGACGCATTCAATGCCATAATAGCATTATGATTGCATAGTTGGTGAACATGATATCCAATCCAATATTTTGTGTTTCAAATTTTATTTTTGAAAGAAAGCAAATATTCCATATGGTGAAGTTGTTTGTATTGCAATTCATGATTCTTCATCATCACTAAATTTATTAATTAATCCCCAGCAAATTATTTCAAAATCAAATATATTTTTGACAATCACGAATAAGTTTTTATTTTCCAAATCACACTATGGGTTTCCGAAATCACATCCCTAACTGATACACATTCATATAGTAGGCATATATCGTCACTGTGAAATCAAACTGGCGTATCCGCAGAATTACTATTTCTTACCAGAGCGTTCCAAAGTTTTTCTACTCGATTATTCCTTTATATCTAGGTACTTGGTATTTCTTCTCAGAGCAATATTTTTTCTGCATAAAATTGAGTTGGGTTCTCCTTGTAGCTGCATCGGTAGCAAATAAATATTTAGGTATGTCGGTATATGACTTTAAAGTTCAAAATATGGGTGTAATTTGCAGAAGTGCCTGGATTATCTGCCAATAAGCCGCGCCTGTGCAGATAAGGGTCGGGTAGTATTGTGAGAAAATTCTGTTCTACTTAAACATGCTACAGTTTTTCACAATGACATCTCATGGTGGACTGACGCATTGGGCAATACACCTGTTTACTGCTTATAAAGATACTGAATCCCGCCAAAATTCATACCGGTACAACGCTACCTGACGAATCACAAGTATACTATACATATGCCGGCAAAAACTCTTCAGCCTGGGTGTCGCGGCTTCGTCGACTTTTATGTATTGTGTTTGTCCAATTTAGGTAAATAATTTATTTTGTTATTAATCAAACCAAGCCACTGATATACAACAATTCAAAATTCTCATATCCCTTCCCGATTAACTTGGTAAAGCTTCGTATCTTCGGACATCATTGACGGTGTCACCCGAGGACGCGAAAAAGACACTCTCCGCTCAGCGCGTGTGAACACATCTCGTATAGTAAACGCTCTCGGTAATATACCAAATCCCAAATTTCAAACCATCTAAAATATAATCGCTCGATAGTGTTCACGCGGACAATAAAATAACGGTGCTACCTATCAGTTTACCCCAGAACCCAGGATCCAGACTATACGAGCCAGGAAAACCAGGACATCGCAGAAAAGCCGGCAATCTGGAATCAGGTAGGAAGTGGCACCAAGTATTTTAATAACTCCCTAAATACAGTCCATTTTCTATATCTTTTAACACTGGGAGTTAGCACCAGGATGCTTTCAATCATGAGAAGCATCTATAGCACCTCGTCAATGAAAGTCCTTGTTTCCAAAGGATGTCACTGCTGATGTACTTCAAGGTGACCCTTTGAGCCCCTTACTGTTCACACTATTCATTGCAGATATCGAGAAATTATTTTCATCGAGAGGAGCAAAAGGAATATAACTCGAATAACAAATGGGAACTAATAATGCTGCTTTATGCAGACGACTTGGTCATTCTCACTTAATCAGAGGCTCAATTGAGTAGAAACCTCAGGATTCTAGAAGGGTATAGTGATCAACATCTTCTTCAAGTGATCAATAGTAATATAATTATTGTTTTCGAGGAAAAACCGAGATCCAAGGAAACCAGATTCCTGTATAAAGAAATAGAGATTGATATTGTCACAGAATCCGCCTATCTTGGTGTTGCTTTCTCTTCCTCTTCCCTTCTCAATAAAATGTCCGATTGACAGTTGAGAAAGCGAAACATCCGACTAGCTCAGCCACAGCTTTGATGAGGAGAACCAAAATGGATTCCTTGGAATCGCGCATGCAATTGCTTTACTCACTAGTTCTTAGCCTCCTAACTAACTGAACAAGGTACATCGACCTCATCGAACGTGTTCAAATCAATTTCTTGAAAAGAATACTCCTTCTCCCCATCAGCATCCCAGACGCAATCGTCAGACTGGAAGCTGGACTAGTGAAAATCTCACTCAGAATTTTTAAGCACAATATAAATTGGCTCATCAAACTCCAACAAATGAGAGAACATCGACTGAATTATGATGCATTTCGCATCTATTCATCCACACCCTGTACATATGAAATTGTTGTAGGCAGAATTTCATTTCAAATGGAGAATTCCCCTCATAAAACCGAGGCGATCGTGAGGTGAAACTCTAGAGGGGGGGTAATGGTCATTTTTATGATGTTTTCCAAACTGTAGGTACCTCTTAAGAATGTTCTATTTATTTTACTCTTGGTTTAACTCTTATTGACTTCAGAGTATTATTTTCGTAGGCTAATGTACGTTAAATCGGAATGATCGGCTTGCAAATGTTAATGTTTTGTTTCAAATAATCTGTGTTTTGCATTTGATTAAGTTATGAGCTGAGTAAAAGAGACCATGAGAACAGTAGTAGGTAACATTCGATTTGCATCTAATGATGCATAAATGAAGCAGTAAATACCGAAAATTCACCATTTTATTACAAGTATTGCACCATCAATACGAATTACCCCAATAAAAAAAAGGTCCACAACCATTTCATGCGATGCAACGAAAAATTTCGACAGCTGTCTGAAATGACTCATAGTAGTGGGTAGGAGCGCAATGAAAATGGCACCTCTCATAATTTTGTCTGTGAATATTTCACTCTTGGTCTCTAGAATCACTCAGAATCGACCATTTTCACGGTTTCTCCTGTAATACAGCGATATTTTTTTGTTAACTAAATTTTATCGGACTTGCTCTACCAATACAGAAGCCGAATTGACCATCACGTGACCAACCTTCCTCGTTTTTCAGCGATAAAATTTTGGACGTTCAAAACGTCAATTACGTTGGAAGCCAGAATGAGGGATGTCGGAAGCCGCTCGTTTATTGTCTCAATCATGGAATACTCATACGAATACAACTCGTGATACTATTTTTCCTAGAAATATTCGTCGATTGGCATACTTCAGCTTGCTGCTTCAATTTCCTACGTCTCGAAAGTTTTGTCATTCGACGAAATTAATAGGCAACAAGCTGTCGTAACAATCGCCGAATATTTCCGGCAAAGTAGTATCACTTGTGGTACTACATATGAATGAGATTTGAAAAATGTATCTGTTGTTATGCTTGTTGTATCGTTCTGCAGTCATCCCGACGTGCAGGCCCGGCCAGCCCAAATCGTTCGGCGTGGCTCGGCACGAGACGACGCGCGTCGCATGCGAGCTCGAGGCCAACCCCAGCGACGAGGTGTCCTTCGCGTGGAAGTTCAACAACACGTCGGACACGTTCGACATCCCGCAGAGCCAGATCCGCACGGAGAAGGGCCGCAGCGTAGTGGCCTACAAGCCGATGACCGAGCTGGACTACGGCACGCTGCTGTGCTGGGGCAGGAACGAGATCGGCGTGCAGCAAGAGCCGTGCGTCTTCTACATCAACCCCGCAGGTGAGCTTTCTTCGTACTTAGTACTCAGAACTTAGCCATTTTTTGAACACCAGGGGGCAATAATGAATACCCCAATCAAAACTGCCCCGCAATGCCTCTTTTTTACCCAACAATGCCTGATAATATCCGACAATCCCAACATTGGCCCTCAATACGGATACACTCATCTCTTTTCATTGCATGTGTTGAAAAAAGACGAATAATATCGAAAATAATAAATAACAAAAACAATGAATAGTTATTCAGGTTTCCTCTAAAAACCACACACCAAGTAGTCAAATTTGTTAAACATATATTATACAGGGTGAGTCACAAGGTAAGTTGATATATATATATATAATAAAATATTTTTTGCCTATTTACATAAATACAGGGCATTATTTGAATTCGTGGAAAAACTCCAATAAACGATATTTCAGGAACGTCTCGATGTTATCGGCTGAAATTCACTAGCAACCCACCTCTAATGACACTCCACAAGATGACGACCTATGGATAAAAAAATTCCAGATCCGGACTTGGAAAACTCATTTTCTCTTTAGATGTCAAAATTTTGACCTTCTGGATCGGATTTTTCGAAAACTTTCATCAGAATCAGAGAGATCAGGAAAAATTCTACAAGTATGGATTTCCAATTCGTACGGCACACTTCGATCGTTCTGGTAAAAAAATATCAAACAAAATACCGATGAATTTTTCTTCCATTTCGTCCAGGCATATCACTCTCTACATTCGACTAAAAGTAATTAAATCAAATTTTTCACTGGAAAGATTCAACAGCAGACTTGAGAAAAGGTATAATTCAATAAAAAATCCAGGACCGGACTTGATTTTGGAAAATAACAATCATAATTTCCGGGGTGATAATAATGATAATAATAGTGATATTAATTATAATAATTCAATCCCATATCACTCCCAAACAGAGTTTCATACATTCATTCGAGGAAATTGATATTAGCTATTTTTGTCCAAAATTTTTGAATCTCATTACAATTAACTAATTTTTACTCCTGAAAAGTTTGACAGTAGTGATACATTCGTATTCAGAAGATAATAGGAGGACAATCTCATTTTATTCACACCAGCATGAAATTGAAAAAATATCGTATTTTCTCATGGTTTTACTGATAATCGTAAGTGAACGTCTCACTTCATAATCAAACTTAAAATCCTTAAGCCCCTTGAATTCATTGCACTATCGCGTATCTGCAATTCTTATTTATTTATTGTCACAACCTGGTGTGAAGAAAACTAGATTATTCTCTAATTTTTACCGAAATTCAAGTGTATCACTATTGTCAGCCTAGTCTGTAGAAAAAATCAGGTAACTTTTTCAAATAACTTTTTTTCTATATCTTGTCATCTAACCCTACTTTTAGCCTCTTCATATTAGTCATTTTTTCAGTTCATAGCGATATATGATTGATCACCTAACATGTGTCCAAATCAATTTTTAGGTTATCGGCATTGTATAATAGATCCCTGAGAAGAAATGTGTCAATATATACTCTAATAGTAGCCAACTTTTTCCCCATATGTTACGGACTCAATAAATTTCACTGTATACATATATAGGCAACCACTTGTTTCCCTAACAAAATTCGATATTGCCCGTGCGTGCAAATCAACCAATTATGGATATTTTGATTAATGATTGATCATATCAAAATGAAATGTTGCGGTTTGTTGGATTCAGTCAACCACGTTCCTCATAATTAGCACGATAAAAAGCGAATCAGCTATCTGCATTTCAGCGTGGGAAGTTATGGCGACGCCATCGGTCTGAAACTGTCAAAAATCATCATGTCGAACGTGGCAAATGAATCATAAACTAATTTGATTAAAAATATGTTACACCCCGTCGGGTGCTTTCAAATCACCTCAGGCGCCGATTAAAAAAGGGATAAAACGGAACGTGTTCATGGATTGGTTCATGGTGGTAATAATTTCGTTTAGGACACGTACCTACATTTTACGGCGTTTTCTGTGACAGGCCACTATAGAATGACGAGACATTCCGAATGGCATTTTACCAGTCCATTAACGGAATTGAATGAAACGTGAAAAAATCTCACCATGCGTAGAAAAAGTTCAGATAACCCTTCTAATTGGAGTTGGAATGGAATTGAACTATGTCAAAGCTACGTCCAGTTTGGTCATCAAGTCCAACAAAGTAACATATTAATCTGTGACTATATACATGAAGTACGCAGAAACGAGTGAAATTACTGACAATAGAAATTCCTCACAACTGTAATATGAAATCTCCTACGCTAAAATCCAGGACAATTCCACAAAATTTCATAATGTAGACAATGATAATCGATGACCACTGGAAATATGCATAATCGATGAAGTTGGAACATTCATAGTCTACATTTGGGAAATTGTGAATGCTGCAAGCACTTCGGAAAACAATTGAGCTAACGTTCATTTCGTTCTATTTAGATCCCACTCAATCCGAAAATTATTGTTGCCGAAACTAAACTCCAACCAGAAGCGAGATATTCGAAATGGCGATCAGAATCGCCGACAAAATCTGAAGATCTTCTTTTGCCGGTCCCTTTGGACTAGTAACGTGATTCTGACATATGTTCTCGCCAAAGAAAATATCATTGGGAACCTTGGAATTACAACCGGAAGTGACTTTTCCAAGATGGCAACAGAATCTGAAAAGCACGTACTATATATCCATCTCCCTAGAGCTAAAAAACTGAATCGAATTATAGTGAATGGAATTAATTGTCATTGGAATAATTGAAATTACACTCAAATGTGTCATTTTCTAAATGGCGGCCAATATTGCAGCAGAAAATCGTGTAGGTATCTCTAAAGTAGTGAGGTTGAAACGTGCTTCAAACGTCTATTTCTAAATATAGAGTCTTCAATTAGTTCTCCAGGAGAAGGATGTCATTAAAGTACTCCTGAGTGAGGCCCAATCTATATTGATACTGTTTTATCAATATTGATTCGTCCACAAAACAAATGATTAAAAAAAAAACAAGTAATTATTTTCGTTGGACAAGGAGAATTTTTCTCAGGATAATAGAGGAAAAAGCATATCGAAATGAATATTTATAATGTATAGTGGAGACCGGAACACATAATATCACCTATTTCTTTTTCCATAATATGGAAAAAGAAATGCAGTTTTTCACTGATGTTTACCATAGATACCTCATATTAATTGAACATTCATTAATGTACGTCCTGTAATCATGACACCAATATTTATTATCATAATATTTTTCATTAACGACCGGGGATGAAGTGGCACTTTATCTCCCGGATTCACAAGCGTGAAGAAGCACTTTAGAGCGCTCTAGAGCGATAAAGTAGTACAGAGGGCGGTATAAAGTAGTCCGGTGGGCGGTAAAGTAGGTGATCGGAAGGTAAAGTATTCTCACTTATTTTTCAGTGATTCATAGTAGACTACCATTCGATCTTTCTTCGCCAATGGCAAACGTTATTTAACCAAATAATTTCAAAATCAATCATGAATTCCATATTGACGTTATTAAATGTCTAACACGGTCGTGCATAAAACGTTGCTTTTATGGACATATGGGCGTGTCAATAGCACTCGCTATCGCTCGGGCTCTTATTTTCACGCCGCGGTCCATAAAAGCCTACTTCAGCCCTTGATATATGAATAACTATAATATTATGCACTAGCGGGTGGTGAAGTGCACTTTATCGCCCAGATTTGCGGACGTGAAGTGGTTCTTTACCGCCCGCGGGCTTATTATCGTCCATGGGCCATAAAGTGCACTTTATCTCCCTCTAGTCTCAAGTCCTTTATATCCACACATTCATTTGTGAAATACCTATATTCGAACTCTTTTAACTCATAATGAATTCTCTTTCGTCTGCTGATACCAAAAATAAGTCTAATTCTGAACTTTTTGAGCCATTGTTTTAATTATGATACATGTTATTGTTCATCCGATTCCATCTTCGCTATAACTTCCTTCTTTGAATAGTTGCTTTCTGGCTGTCTGAAGTCTTTAGACAAAAGATGACAATTTCAGCTTTTATATCCCAGCTCAATTACTGCGGTACTGTCTACGGACCTTAATAAGATGTTGTTGATATAAAACGTATTAAAAAAGTTCAGAATTCCTGATTAAGACTTATTTTTGGTATCAGCAGGCAGAAGAGGATTTCAAGTGCTAGAAACAAAAAAGCCGGAAACTTGAATATTCGTCACTCTAGTATTATCACTGTTCCTTGACATAGGAAAGAAATTTATAAATAAAGTTTCTCTTACAACATTGCCCATTATATTAATGCTCTTCGTGTCACAGATTTCAGTCGTTCGATTAAATCATTTAAGAGTGTCTAGAGTGTCTATATTCTAATTCGCATTCGCTTGCCGGTCGTGGGTTCGATCCCCGTCGACTGCAGAAATTTTTCTGATGGCCCAAGAAAGTGTTTGGGATCACACGTTAAAAGGTAAGACCCCCGTCATTCCTTGCTCGCACAAGACTTTCGAAGACTTTTGAGGGTTGCTCGTAAGGGGGCAACCGAATGACGGATAGAACAAATTTTAGAACAACAAATATTGTAACGACACGACTGCTTCAACTCCTGGATTTCTGATTCTTGTTTGGTGTCAATATAATGTTATTGAATCATTTCCATTTATTCCTAGTGATAGTCGTTCTGTACATACTTGTCTCTTTCCTTTTGTCCCCTCTTCTTTTCTTTTCTTACTCTTCTTCTTAACGCTTGATATACTAATGCTCTCATGTTCTCTAGCCGTTAGATTGATAGTTTCTTGTTAGGTTTACGCCTGGCCAGAATGAAAGAACAGTTGCAAACTACTTGGTAGAATGTAACTGAATTCTGGCCATTTATTCGCCACATTAAGTATGATAAACCTACCACCTTACACTTGTCATCGTTTTTGGGGAATAATAAACGTATTATTATATATTCCAGTCACGACTCTGCGGTTTCCGACGCCACGCAGAGTCGTGCTGTATAAAATCCATTGACTACTCCCCACATCCTGTGGAGTAAAAAATCACTGGGACCAAGAACCGTGTGCCTCCTAGGGAGCCGATTATCAGGATGACCAATTCCACAGAATGGTCTGGATAGAGCCTGCGGAGTTCGAAGAGGAGATCTCGATAGTTAGTCCGTTTCTCCTCCTTCTTCAAAGCGATATTCGGTTCGGCTGACGCCAAAAACTCGATCACGAACATTGCTTTGGTTTGATGGTCGAGGTGGACTACATCAGGCTTGTTAGCTTGTATTTGCCTGAGGGTGGGGAATGAGGAATTCTGATAAATTCGGCACCTCTCATTCTCCACAACGGACTCAATATCCCCCGGAGCATAGGGCAGCACTGGGGTCTCGTCTATTCCGTGCGAGTGCCTCAAATGATAGTAGAGCACTCGCAATGCCGCATTGTGTTTATGGATATAGGCCGAGACTGCATACACCGTGCAAGAAGACAGCAGGTGCATAACTGTCTCGGGCGCCCTGGGGCAAGCCCTGCAATTTATGTCAGGGACCTCCATACCCATGACACGGATACGGTAGACCAGAGTGTTAAAAACCTCATCTTGGCATGCCATAATGAACCCCTCTGTTTCCGATTTGAGCCCGCCTGACTTGAGAAAAGCAAACGCCAGTTCTTTGGATAAGTCCCGGCCTTCAATGGTCTTGAAGTAAACCGAATGCATGGGCTTATCCATGTGAAGCTGCAGGAACTTTCTCACTTCTGCAGCTTTGATGTGGGCCTTCCTTCTAGCGGGCTCTAGCCCAGTAACTGGGTCCTGAGCCTCGCGCTCAGAGTCGAAAATCAGAGACAATTCATCGGCTGCCGGCTTGCTGCCCTAAAAAGAAATGCTCCTACTCCTGCCTCTTCATGGGTTTTAACCATCTGCAGGAGGGGATCCGAACTCCTGATGACTTTGCAGGCGCCATCCAGAACCATTCTTTCATGAAGATACTCAAAGCTCAAGAGTCCACGGCTACCCTGGTCTCTAGGTATGTATAACCGTGGAACGGACCAATTTGGAAGCAGACTTCTATGGAGATGCATCATCTTGCGAGTACTTACGTCAAGTTGTCGCAGCTCGACTTGAGTCCACTGTATCACTCCAAATGAGTAAAGTAGGATGGGAACAGCAAGAATTTTATTATTATTATTATTATCATTATTATTATATCACCCGAATGAAGCGGTTTTCTGGGTGTGTTTGAACTGGCAAATTCAGATTTTTATGTGAACACTGATGCTATACCGTTTTTGTTGAAGTAATATTTTTTCATCATTTGTTGAAATATGTTCATGAAACAGAACAAATTCTCACATATTACTATGATTAACTATAAATACTGAAGATTAAAACTGACATGGGCGAAACGTTCTTATGATTTTTCCCACTCGTTTCTCCGAACCCCAGGAATAAACCCCCTTTGAAAAAAATCGTCCCGGTATTATTACAGGCAAACCCGACGCCCTCTCCAACTGCACCATCTCCAACCAGACCTTCGACACTCTGACCGTCGAGTGCTCCGAGGGCTTCGACGGCGGCCTGCCACAGGAGTTCGTCATGGAGGTGTTCGACTCGGCGTCGCGCAAGCTGGTGAGCAACGTTTCGTCGCGTGCGCCCCTCTTCAGCGTGGGCGGGCTGGAGTCGGGCGCCGGCTTCGATGTCGGGCTGTACGCGGCCAACAAGAAGGGCAGGAGCGCCGTTGCCAGGCTGCAGGCCTACACGCTCAAGTCGGCCGAGAAGCATACCGGTGAGTGAGGTATTGCGGGATGTCGATTTTGTAGCGAGATCTCCGTGGTTTAGGATATCCGTGAAAATCACTCGGCTTCTGATGTTAGGCTGCAGGCCTACACATTCAAGTCGGCTGAGAAGCATACCGGTGTGTGCGATCTTGCCAGGCGTCATAAATGCTGATGTTCCGCAAAGATCAATTCTAGCACCAACAGTATTTCAACTCCATATCAAAGATTTGTTGGAAGCAACTCCATGCCCAGTACACAGCTTCGCGTATGATAGTACCCTCCATACCTCCTTCTCTTCCAGGGCTCCAATACCAGCCAGGCAAATCAGAAACGAACGAGGGAGAAATGTTGACAACATAAATATGGTCTTCGCAACAATTCTTGGATGGGAATCCAATAACTTGGTAGATTTCAATGCAAACAAAACACAAGCATGCCTCTTCTCTAGAAAAGCCGATCTCACTGTGCCCAACATAAGCTTTTCAGGAGTAACCATACCTTTGAATACATCCATTTCGATGCTCGTTATTACTATCAGCAGTAACCTTTCTTGGCAATATCACGTGAGATCAATTGCTAAAAGTGCATCTCAAAAACTTGGTTGTCTGTTCCGGGCCAGGAGCTATTTCACTTTCAGTCAGCTGTTTATGATCTATAAGGCACAGATCCGACCTGTCCTGGAATAATGTTCCCATATTTGGAGTGCAGCACTCAAACATACCCTGAAACTATTGGATTCTGTCCAAAAAAGTCCAAATTTGTCTCGTGGGTGATGCCTCGTTCACAAACTCACTCACTTCTCTGGAACACAGTAAAAAAAATATTTGAAATTCAGTTGGATGTTTAATATTCTCAATGAAGACAACACATATCGAATTATGAACATCAAGTTCACTTCGACCCGAAAAAAATTCTCGAACCCAAGTTGGTGAGAAAATTCATTGAATTCGTTAAATCACATTATTGTTGATGATTTTTTCAATTACTCCACTAGAAGACTCTTATCCTAATATCGGCGTTTCCACAGATTATCGATATTTTTCTGACAACGCAGTTTGAGAAAACATGACATGAACACCATCAAAGATTTCTTTTTTTACGGCTATAACACAAAGTTGCTCTTATGTTACTGTGTTCGATACATCAATGAAGTACTTTGTATGATATCAATTCCATTTCTGTATCTGATATCACAATGACTCAATTGCGTCATCATTTCAAAAAAATCTCATCGCCCATGGAATGTCAAATCTCAAGCAATGTCTTATGAATGAGCATCACTTCAGAGGAAATCAGATGGCTAGAAGACGAAAAAATCAAGAATGTCGCTGTTATTTCTTGCAGCCGTAAAAAAATCATAGTATATAACTTATCGCACGAAATGCTAATTCCATCACTATTATTCCGTGCTCGTGAAACAATATACTATTACAATTTCGGTTGTCATGCTTAAAGTTTCATGTGTTAAGTTTCGGTTTTTTCACTGCAAAAGTATAAGGGGAAACTCTTCTTGCTATCATAATGAAAAAATCACACCGGCTCATGAGATTTTATATACCTACATAAATTGAATAGTAAAAATAAAGAAGGAACTTGCACGCTGCATTTTTGGTATTTTTTAGATTTTATGAAGAAATAAATTAGATAAGTACTAGTTATATTTTGAATGAAATAAGATTCATTTGTTGGATCTTAATGTTAATTTCGATTGAATCACTGAATTTTCTTAGATTATCTTGGGGATGTAATTACCTCCATCAACCCCCCCCCCCTTGTATTCGCGCCTGCTAAGATCAATTATCGCGATGTTGGTATGACACGATTTTTTTCATGAGAACGTACGTAATGCGTGTTGTAAAGCAATTTCATACTCATAGAATTACACCACACCTGCCGCTAGGAGGCGTAATTTTCCATTCGTGCGTAATATACTTCTTAAAACAATTTATAGTTAATATAATTAATTAATTTTGAGAATTTGCGGAAATCAGAATATTTGTGACCTCTGATGCGGCACGCGGGATTTCAGAATTGCTCTATAGTGGTGAAAAAAAAACCAATTTAGCATTGTCGGAATACGATTTATAATATAAAATATGATTGTTCTAACCAACTCGTTCTATTTCTGTATTTTTGGATTTATCAGATGCTGCGACCTAAGTATTTGATCTTTCGAAACAGATAGAAATACCAGTGGAATCGGAATTCAAAAAATATGACAAATAGAGAGAAACTCAAAGTCATCACCACAATAGTTCATAAAATAAACGAAAATGGTAGATACGAGAGGAAAACCAACTACTTTCCTGGCTATATGCCACGCAGAACATTGGATGACATCCTCCCGAAATCTATGCAATAGTTCGTATAGACGAATAAAATCGCAAGTGTTTCCATCCTAAACGCCGAGCTGCGTCTAAGTGGTTCAGGCGAAATGGTCCGAAACCGGTCTGCAGGAAGGAAATACTTGCGATTTCATTCGTCTATACGAATCATTGCATAGATTTCGGGAAGATGTGATCCAAAGTTCTGCGTGGCATATAGCCAGGAAAGTAGTTGTTTTTCTCTTGTTATCTACCATTTTCGTTCATTTTATGAACTATTGTGGTAATGACTTTGAGTTTCTCTCTATTCGTAACCATTGCATTCCACTTTGAGTATTTGGCTTTTTCCTAGTGCACAAAATATTGTTCAGTTCTGATATGTTCTTGGTGTTGTACGGATATTATTTCCTAATCATGTAAAAAGTCCTGCTGAGAATTGAACAGTATGTATGTACCTATACATGCATGTTTGTGAAGCACTTTTTAGTCGAGGATGTTTCGAATGGGCTTATATCACAAAAAAATTGTATTTCATAATTCGATAGAACTCACCCAAACTAGCTCACAACCGCAAACCGTTTCTTTCTGTGAGCTCCCTACGATTTATAAAAAATTATTGTAATTTTTCGGACCTCTGAAAACGAGGCGATGATGTGACGTCGAAACATTAATACTGAAACAAATTCCAGGCAGAGATGAATGAGACATGATTTCTGACAGAGTGAATTAGCGCGAGATCACAGTTGAAAGAATTAATATATCAGTTGCCTCGGTCTCCGTCGGGCGTTTGGTATTTTCTGTCAACTGTGGCGAGATGAGGTTTTTACGTCATAAGAGGGTCCGTTTTCAGAAGGTACTATCATTTATGTCCAAAAATAAAACATTCCAATCAATTTTTCGATCGAATTATGTCGTCAATCATTATTTATGTATAAAAGGATCATTATAAACATGGTTGGAGTTGAAAGTTTTACTAAGGTGTACACGCCCATTGAAGTTTTTTACATTGAATACTGAAGTTTGGTTTCCTTGAATGAAGAAATATATTGTTTATGTTGAAATAGTATTTATGTTCAGCAGATTTCAAGAAACGAAGAAGAACTGTATTCCTATTAGCACGAAAGTCTCTTCAAATGATCGGAGCATCGTAATGCCCGTTGAAATGTTCTATTGATCTGCCGCTTTCCACTCACGGAGATCATACTATATACAGGGTGTCCCTCCGGGAACTGCATTGATCAATGGATAGAAAATCATAGGTGGGCAAAATTTGATAGTTCACTATTGTTGACAAGTGCTATCCAGCTAAAATATTTTGAGGATTGTGGCACTTCCGGTTGTACCGGAAGTGGACCCCAACTTCGTTATTTCAAAAGGAACACCCTGTATTTTATTGCATTCTCAAATTCTTACTGAAGAGCTGATTTCATCAATATATCACACTTGAGGTCTATCAGGAATGATTACAGAGATATAGGGTGTTTAAAATCGAGATTTTTCAATTTTAGGATTTTTTTGTGTCGAAACTATTCATTATCGATCAAAACGGCTTACATGTTCCTATCTTAACTTTTCAAATCATTCCTGACAGACCCCAAGTGTGATGCATTAATGAAATCAGCTCTTCAGTATGAATCTGAAAATCCAATAAAATACAGGGTGTTCCATTAGCAATAACGGAGTTCGGGTCCACTTCCGGTACAACCGGAAGTTCCGCAATTATCAAAATATTTTAGCCGGATAGCACTTATCAACAATAGTGAACTACCAAATTTTCAAATTCGGCCCACCTATGGTGTCCTATATATTGATCGATGCAGTTCCCGGAAGGACACCCTGTATAACATAACGGTCGCTTCAATGTCTGTAAACAACATATGCATAGAGCGGCAGTATTTCAACGGCCACTACGATCCTACGATAATTTATAGAAACCCGACTATGAATATGGTCAAGATTTATTTTTTGTCACATCAATTCTTATTTATACAAAGTTCACATTGTGAACTATGGTCTCTCAAGTTAAAATTGCATCATTTAATTTGTACTAATTGTTAATTCGCTATATTGTTCTTAGCATGAGTATTTCCACTTTGCCCCTTCGAACTGGAACCGCCAATTTACAATCAAAGTCTATTCTAGGTCCACAAGTTCTGATAATTCTGCGCTATCAATAATACAAAACAAATTTAATTGAGACACTGTCATTGGCTGATCCAGGAAAAGCCCCAGAGGCGCCACTTTCAGTCGCTGGGAGTAGTGGGAGTTCAAATGACACGATGAATCAAATTAATTAGTGTTATACAGGGTGACATTGGAATGAATACAAACATTCCAAGCATTGAGGAAGCTCGAAGTATATTATCGAATAGCAGCAGTTGAATAAATATAGAAATACAATTGAAAAGGAATACTCTCAGATATTTTTATGAACACAACAATATGGATATATATAAAGAAATACATTGAGAATTTGCGTTCTCCATGTGATAAAAATTATTCAACAGAAAACACCTACTTTCCTGGCTATATGCCACGACGAATATAGAATTACATCTGTTGAACACACACGATAAGAATTCGAAAACAAAATCTTCTGAAGTAGAGAATTCGCATTCTCCTTCATATAAAGATATGCATATAATATCATTCTGAATATTCAACAGAAAACTTTCCTGGCTATT